CCCCCCCCCCCCAAAGTGCACTAAATAACTTCTTTTGCAGTTGCTGTCCTTCAACAAAGTAGGCTGATATGAATGCCCACCCAGTCCACTAATCCCATAAGGTGGTCTCAGTTTTACCAACATAGCATGTTTGTCTTTCGTCTGATCTTGCTCATCTATATTTTTCATCACTTGGCTAAATCAGAATTGCGAATGTGAGGTGTATAGGATGGAAACTGATAGTCAATGATTGAAGGTATGTCACAGATGACCTGCTTTGAACTCATTTTTCTCTTCTTTTTTTCCCCCTCTAAACTCGTTGCATTTTCTTCTTTTCACACCTAATCACCCGCCTCCTAAATGAATCTTGAACGAGCATCATTCTCGTGGATTTTATTTCCACTCACTTTTATATACCAGTGCACCAAGTTGCCCCTACTTCGAATGCCAGGAGGCTCGACATGCCCGTGGCTTCAGAGACCCGCCGCATCATAACACCAAGAAATGTTGTCGCGGCTAGAACCAGTTCTTCGTGCTCAAAGCACACGAAAACAGGTGAATTCCTCTTTGTTCTGTTAATACCTTGACGCCACACAATATATAATATAACACTTCGAATCAGGTGGGAACCGCCACGCCTACATATGCCCCCTCTGCGGCCTGGCCATCCCAAACGGCAGGCTCTTCGACCACTGCAAATCCAAGAAGCAGCAGCTGACCCACCCTCATCGCTCCAACCTGATCATCATGCAGTTCACCCAGAAAGCGCTGGGACGCCTCCACAAGACCCCGTGGACCAAGGACGAGATGAAACGGAGGAAGCGGGAGTGGCCGTGCAAGGTGTGCGGCAAGGAAACGAAGGACGTCAAGAAGCACATCGTCAAGAACCACGAAGACGACCGAAGGAAGGCGGCTGAATTGGCAGCATTGTCCATCGTGGAACATCTTGTAAACTTTTTTTTTCCCACTTTTATTTAGTTACCTGGACATGTTTTGTGTCAACATCGACTGGCAGTGCGAATCAAGAACGTAACGTCACTAGCGATTATTGTGAAGAAGTAGAAGGTATCTAAACGGGCCAACAGTTAAAAATGACTCAGGTTCAAGTTCTTTCCCGATTTGAAAGCTATCAGGAAATGTGTGGTTACCTTAGACATATGTCTACGACACCTTCATTTCGTCCAAAAGTCCAGGTGAATTGTTATATATTTTGACCAGCATAATTTCATTCTGAGGAGCAACGAATATCGAAGTAACCATTGCTCGTAAAAATAGGTTAACCCAGCCTGCATTGACTGCTTTGGCTCTGCTCAGTTATATACCTCTGGTTGAAGTCAATTTTTTCCCTCATTAAACAGCAAAAGTTGGCCAATCAGTCCTCGCCCATCACTCCATGCAAATGCCAGTGCTTCGCTCAGAGAGAACGGCACGGAGCCGGGGAGAGAAGCGAGGAGGACAAGCAATGTCAAAGTAGTGGAGATCCTGGGCTGGATTATTTACAGGTAAACTCATTTGAAAGACTACCGACCAAATAGTTGCTTTGTCTCCTGGGAGAAGTTTTTCCAAGATGAAGGAAGTGAATCAACATGCATTATGAGAAAATAATGATAAAGTAATATTTTTGCTCGTTAGAAAGTCAACTTTTTCGGAGAACTGACATCTGGCGCCTCATTTACTTTATTCGATGCTTTATTCTGTGTTCCATGAATTTTGAAAGAACTTTAAATATTGGAGGCATAAAATAAAACACGGCATCCATAACCGTATTTTAATTTGTGATTTCTTCATTGTGTTTCAGAAACGCCTGAGCCAAACTCACGATACCAAAAACATGAATACCATGTTGAAACTATTTCGAACCCTGTTGGACCAAATGCAAGTAAACCAGAGCCTCGAGTTATTCCAGCCGGCCACCCACGACCGGATACCAGACGCCATCCGGTCCCTGCTGGCCACGCGCTACAAGGCCGCCACCGTCGGGAAGCTCTGCGACGCCCTCGAGGCCTTCCGGGAGGCAGTCGCGGCGAGCCTGGCCCTGCAGCAAGAGATCCCGACCGCCGCTCTCGAGACGCTCCGGGCGCAGATCAAACACTGCCGGAAAATCAGCAGGAAAGGTCATTGATTGCTTGGACCTTTGTGTTTGTTTGCTTGGACCTTTGGGTGGAATTGCACGTTCCTTCATTGCTTCCGCCGACTCAGGTTTTGTCAGCGATTCTAGACCTGATGATTTCAATGGGGGAAAAAGAGACTGATGCTCCAGGGACCTTCAAGATTCGCGACTATACTGTGAAAACGTACTTAATTATGGAACCGTACAGTACTTAATCGTGAGGTTCAGATTTGTTTTCCCTGGTTTATTTTTTCATCTCTCTTATTGTCCACTGCACAAAATCTTCTTACCCATTTAACTTCGAAGCAGTGCAAGGTGCAGATTCACTTAAAGACTCAATTCGCACGTGCTTTAATCCTCAGCCCTGACAGGAAATACTAGAGAAACACGAATAGTTTCACCGGAAGGAGGGACCAAGGGAAAGACCACTAAGTTCAAGAGTTCCCAGATCCCACAAGTTTTCCTTCGTTCTGTTCCAAATGTTAATGATCAGTAGGGAGCGGACGCTTCGTAGTTTTCAGGGCTCGCACATCATGAAAATCGACGACCCTTGACTTCGTTCGCCGCGTTTTTATTCCTCTTTTAGGAAACTCAAGAACCGATAGAAGATGTAAACTTCCTAAATATTTTCCGAGCGAATCTTTATGACAATCTTATATTCATTAGAAACGTGAATACGAAACGTTTTCCACATCATTCTTACAACTCCAATTGCACATTATCTCCTCTGGCAAGCAGTTTTCAAGATTCATAAATTTTACTTTTCGTTTCTTGCCGTTGCGTAGTTGCCAAGACGCAGAGAAGCGTTTTGTGGACCGAACAGACGAAAAATCTGCCCATCATCCGCGAGGAAACGCGAAAGCTCCTCTCCGACAAGCGCATCAAAGACGACGTCACGAAAATCACAGGAATGGAAACCCCCAGCAGGCCCGACGCCCTCCGTCTGAGGCGGATCCTCACGTCCCTGATGGTGATCACAAACGGCCATCGAAGCGGGGTCATCGAGAACATGCGCCTCAAAGAATACCGGGAGATGGAACAGTGGGATCACGAATTCTCAGTCATCCGTGTCAGGAAGCAAAAAATCCCCTCAACCAGGGCAATTTCCACGCGGCGAAACGTAAACGGTAGAGGAATTCCTTTACATTACAGGTGTTGAACCACAAAAAGGTTTCCGACGGTCCCGCCAACGTCTTCATGGGGAACGAGATGAGAGCGGCCGTGGAGTTTTACGTGAGGACCTGCCGTCCCCTTTTCTCGGACGACGGTGAGTCCCGAGCATCCCGCTCGCACGTCGACATCAAAGTGTCTTTGGGATCTCATCCCTTTCGCGAGGATGCGTCTATCGTCTGAAAGTAAAGGACTCACCGAAGGCAATAACTTTAATCAAATTTCAACATGCATTTCATGTGCTATGGACGTAGACATAGGTGGGGAGGGCAACGAAAAACCCGACGCCTGAGATAGTTCAAGTTGATGCTAGACGCGAGGAAAATTTTAAAAATCCCACGCCGGCTCATCTCACTACGCCTCTTGTCTTCAAGTGCAAAAAAAAATGGGGGGACTCAAATCGAACTCTCAATAATATATGTATTCTGCTGTGTCCAATCGTGACAATGAAATTATTTCAGATTCGCCCGACGCCCTGGTTTTCAACAGTGCCAAGGGAAAGCCGCCAAAAATGAGTGAAGAGCTGGATGCATTTGCCAAATTATACGATTGTTCCTTGGCAGAAAATCCTTTCTGGAATGCCAACGGCATCCGTCACTTCTACGCAACCCGGGTTTGTGATCCGCCGTCTTCGCAATTGTTTTAAAACTCAATTATGGAGGAATACGTGTCGCCGAGTGCATATATTTTAGCGTCGAGTTGAAACATCAGAAAAAGAAATAGTGTGAACTCCCTTCACACTTTATTTACCATCTCTCCCTTCAGGCTCACATCGACCTCTCCGACGGCGAGAGAAACGCCACAGCCATCCAAATGTGCCAGAGGCCGCAGACGCAGACGAATAAATATCTGGTCGCCACGACCGTCGATTGCAGGAAGGGGTACAGCCACATGCAAACCATGATGGGGGTTGCGACGCTCAAATGAAGCGGGAACCCATTCGGTGGACCCGAAACACCTAATACGTATTCAGATTTAATATATTCCGCTTCGCAAGGATGAAATCGACCCAGTCTATTCGTGAGGAAATGATTTAGAGCACGTCTTTAGTTCTCAATGTTTGCACAGTACAATAATTCCAGTGATAATACACCATTTACTTTTTCTTCAGCAAATCGTTTTCATGGCATGAAATGACTTCACACTTGACCTTCACCGCCTAAAGTGCGCAAGCACAACATCGCGCTCACCGAGCGCGACGCATCCCGGTTTACGAACAAGACTCATTCCGACCGACATAGGGACAGTGAGCAACGAGGTGACAGTGAGCAACGAGGTGGGATGGGGGGCCATCAGTTCAGAGACTGCATGCACCGTGAGCACGGCGGCCTCCAAGCTCTCATGGGTTGGCTAAGCTCTCATGGGTTGGCTAGTCGCTGTGCCTAACGTCCGGCAGTCCGCCGATTGGTCGTCGGATCGCGCGTGTCGACCAACCAATCGATCATCAATTATGGTCAGGTGGAACTCGTCTGCGACTATGGTGTAAAGATGTTTGTCCGTCGTGGCAAACGACAGACCGGCTAAAATGATCTCTCTTTTTTTTCCAATGGCGAGGGTTCATCTCTCGCCTCGTCGTGGAAACCATGCACGGTTCTCGGATGTTATTAATACTATAGTTCATGGCATCCGCTCTTGGCAGTATTGAATAAATTTATCAATATTCAGCTCAACTGCGTCATTCGTGAAAGGATACCAAGTGGAACTCAACTCAGTGCAACTCCAATGGGAACGAACACTTCGAATTCGTGACTACCAAAGGCACTCGTGGCTCCAGAAGGCGAGGACTGGATGACAATAGTTGTGGATGGAATGGACCAAAAGAAAACCGATGTTCCTCGATTTGCACGGGAAGATAAGAACACTATCAACCTCCCAATTTATCAGCACTAATATTGTAACGTATGCCAGCCTATGTCCGCGCAACGTCCAGTGTATCAGTAGAGAGTCAAGGCACAGGAAGCTGAAGGAGGTGAACCAACACGTGGAGATGCATGAATATGGAGGTGAACCCAGTGTTTGGGGTCGCCAACCCGTGGAAGGGCTCCTTGCATGATCTTTTCTTCTCGAATGTGCTACCCAAACACTGATACCCATTCGCATAATGATGTTATGGCTCCTTGTACAAAGTCCCTCCAATCAAGTCTAAACTCCAAACCTATCCTCCAATCCAGCAAGATTTCTGCTGAAGATCCCTCACTCCGAGGTGACTGAAGAACTCGAACAAGTCGAATTAGTACCGATTTTACCGGGGTACTTGGGCCCTTTTGATCGTGGGTGCTCTGAAAATGACCACCTTCCTCTCTAAAAAAAAAAAAAAAAAATTGCATGTTCTGGGGAAAACTCACGACCATCGAAAAGATCCTCTAACTATAGCGTTTTTCCTTTGTATGTTTTATCTGGAAATGAAGATCACCTCGTTGTCATTGAAAATACTGTAAAGGGCTTGGACCGGTTGTTTCGTTAAAATGTATAGTCTTTTTTATTAGTTTTTTTTTTGGAAATACACTTTTTTGTTTTCTTGAATTACGCCTTACTTACTCCCGCTCGAATTAGAATTGGCACGGACCTGATTACCTGGAAAGGAATTCATTGTAGTGGAATCGGGGCGCGTAAAGGTAAAGATTTTATTTTAACTTAATTAATATTTGCTATTTTCATAAATACAACCCACTGCGCCCCGTGCCCGTTACAATATCACAGGTACATTCTATTTCGGGTGTATACATTAATCCATCCAAGACACTCATGTTTCTGCTGCTATTCAATTTTCAATGTTGCAGTAACCATCACAGAATTTGTAACATGTATAACTCTTTTAAGCGACACATCGATTCTCTTGAAATTCCCATTTTCTCGCAAGCCAAGAGAATGCAGAGAATCTGTGGGTCTTCATTACTGTAGGTTTTTTTTTTTTTTCAAAATCCACTGTTATTGCCTTCTGGTCAGGGATCATGGCGTGCACTGAAGAAGACATCCGGGAGTTCGCCTACGTGGACATGGGCCAATTTCCACATGACTTCGGCAGTAAGATTGGAATCATTATTCCACTTGAGAAGGAACATAAGTAGCAAGCTACCGATCTAAAATGGATAATTGCTGTCGGGAAAATAAGAACAAATACATTCTCGCTCTAGCAAATTCGGGGATTCGGACATCTTTGAGGCTTCATGTAACTCCTCCTTATAAGTAATGCACTTGTATATTCACATGGATTCAAATGTTTTTCTGTTTTAATTCGTTTCCTACTGAGAATTATATGACTGTTGGAAGTGATATTGGAGAGGGGGGGGGGGAACTCCCTGCTTTCAATTTAAAGCAATTTGTGACCGCCATCCTTTTCACATCCGAAACAAGCTTCACAGGTTCCATTTCTCTCGGATTGTTTTCAACTTTCATCCAGTTGGCCATACCCACGAGGACATGGATCAGATGATCAGCATAAGTCAATTGTAACATCTATAGCAGACGATGTCCTGTCTGGTGTTTTCACATGAGCGGACGTCGGAAGGGTCATAGAGTGCGTACCAGTATTGCAGGCTCAATGTCACACCAATAAATATCGGGAAAATCCTGTGGGGCACCCCGAAATTATAACTCGTGACTTCGAAGATGCGAGTGCAGTCTTTGGATTCATAAAATGCCTCTTTCTTCCTCCACGTGGTCTTTATCATCCGGTACAACCTAATTGGAGCAACAAAAAATGGTTGTTCCCTCTCTGCCGGACCTTTGCAGATATTCTACAGCAGGAGCCATACAAAGAGTACGGGTGACGGAGGACGTGGAAAAGACTGTGGAGATGGGTTGCACAACTGTGAAAATCTATGGAGATGGGTTGCACAACTGTGAAAATCTACGAAGTGTACCACTTTCCTCTTCTTTCCTCTTACCATGGTTCTCTTTCTCCTATATCGACACCTTCCTAAAAATAAAGCAAGAGGCCAATGGCTGGCCATCTGAATGTCTAACTGATAACGAGAAGGATGTATACATCAAACGGTATGAGCAACACGAAGGAATCAAGCTGGAAAAGGATAATACAGGGTGCTCGAAAAGTCACTGTGCAGTAGAATGCACATGATGTAGGAGACCTCACTGTAGCTAGGAATTACAGAAAATAAATTATGTGAATCGGGGAAGGTGCAAATATTTTATGAAGTATTGAGTGGAAATTCATGTACCTGGTGATGCAATACATGTGATACGCAGTACAATACTAAATACAAGCAACAAGTTACACTGACTTTTCGGACACCCTGTATAACAAAATCCGGTTTGCGAAATTTTAATCAGGACCACTTTCGCGAAGAGCACAACCGGATGTGAACAGTTTCCTTGCAGGACCTAAAATCAAAATCGGCAGAATGGTTCATTGATAATGTTCAGTCATGGAAATGAAATGAGCCAACAGAGACGAGCACCTGCCTCAGCTAACGACCACAAACATTCATTGCAATTTTTATTACATGTCACGCTCGAATAAAGCTTCACTCCATCCTTCAACAATTATGCAAGGCCACATTATACTATGACTCGGATTCCGTCATTTACGTCAGTGAGGTAACAAACAATCCGCCGTTGAGGGACTTCCTTAGCGAGTTCACAGACGAATTGGGTGATCGCTTTAATTTCATTTCAGGTGGATCAAATAAATACGCATACGGGACATCACACGGAAAAGAGTCCCTAAAAGTTCGTGGCTTCACACTCAATCACGATGCCTCTCATAAAATAACGTTTGACGCCATGCATCTATTTATTGCATGGTTTCAAGCTGCGAAGAGGTAAAAGGTCCGAGAAGGCGGAGCAAATTACCATCATCGACCCTCAAAAAATCATCCGTGAAAAGAAAGGGAAAAAGCCGTTCACCACGTAAAAGAGAAAGAGGTATCAGGTTGTACACGATAAGAGGCTTCTTCAGCAGGATTTCACCACCTTACCATACAGTTTCCAACTCGAAAGCATCCTCTGTGCCCTCGCCAAGTTACTTCGGTGAGTCTCGCTCTAGCATCGTCATTCCATTTGTCTTAGAAATTCGTTCCCCATTTCTGGTCTCGGGAGCGTCACATCCCCGCTGTAAAGAGTATATTTATGCATAAAAATGCCTGCTTCAGAAGCGAATTGTGACAGGGTTTGGGTAAAAAAGACTTCCGTTCCATAAAAAAAATTTCTACCCGACATTCCATGAAACTTCTAAGACTCAAATAAAAAAGTATCATTCTTCCCAATTACATGACTTGAATGGCCAATGAAAGCATTAATCTTCGTGGCAGTTCTCCCATTTTCTGATCCCTTTACCGCAATCTTTTTTAATTCATTCCCTCCTGTTCCGTTTTTTCCTCTTGATATGCCTTAACTGACCATTTCATTAATCTTCCTTAGCAAAAACATGTGTGTGATCTTGGCTCAAGAATAATTTCTGGCATCATCTCCACAAGTGTTCAGATTTTTCCTTACATATGAACTGAGTAGTAGAGAAACATCTTACAACATTTATTAGAAACACGAGAAGAACAGGGTGTCTCATCTATCAAATTTTCATAATTGAGGACATGCGAGCCAACAGCCAAGTCTGACAGTGGCTTGCACTGCAAAGAAACAACGTTAATTAAGCGCACGTGGACCCATAGGTCATTGGAGCATAAATCAATATGAGTAATCCCATACTTGCGATTAAGCAATTAAAACCGCGAAGTGTTAATCGAAGTTCACCAATTACAATGCCACCGTAGTCCACCCGTGTTAGGTGCACTATAATCAAGGCAGAAGGTGGATTTGCATTCCTTCGCGCATATCCACCTACTGCCTTGACACCTTCAGATCCGAAGGAGTAAATTGAACACATTTTTGTATGTTACAATAAGTTCAATGCATGAATACAGACTACTATCGCTAGCCCACACGTCCTCACAATATATTCAATATTTACAGGTCTTCTGTCGCAAACACAAAGTCTAATAGACATAAGAATCGCACCAGTCTCCCAGGTAAAAAGAAAGAAGAGACGTGGTGGCGTGCCCCTGGGGCTTCACCAGAGGCCGTGAAGGAAACTTGATGGGATACCTTCAGTCAACTGCCAGACTTTACTCATTTATCTCTGGTTTTAGCATTGACATTGTTAGTGACTCAGTCAAAGCAGGAAGATAATATCCTTCCTTTATTGAAAGGCGAGTCATTTCATGGAAGCGTACTTGTGGCGTCTAATAACTTACCAAATAATACAGTAGGCCAGGAAACGTTCCTAGAACATCTTAAGTAGTCAAACGTTCATATTGAGGTTAATAGAACAATTATGCGATTATTTCGAATGCAAACAAAAATTAAAGGCAAATATTCTACATAGCAGCTGCAATTCCTTGACAGCCATTCCAATAAATGAAAAATAAAGAATACGTAAAAATGACTTAATTCGATTCTTCCTCACATCAAATAAACCAATTTGCACCATTCCAAGTTTTATTTTTCCATCAGCCAATAGGAGTGAAGGCCACACAGCATTTTTTCCATCGAACTTTCGCATCCCTCTAAGACGAGCAGTAACTTTCATTCCGTATTGGTGACTAAAGTAGATACAATAAAAAATTATTTTATATAATGGTACCTTTAACAAAGTAACATCACATTTGAATGTCTAGACTTGGTATCATAACACATCCCTCGAAGAGACGACCATTCCACAAGACCTGTAGGTAACATGTAGAATCAATACCAATTCCAATTTAATGTAAACATAAATCCCCACACTAAAGTGGCAACATCTAATACTAGATCTTCAACATTACTTGATCTGAAAACTAAAATTCAGCGACGGGTACGATCTGAGGACATTAAATGTTTCTTCAGAATTGACTCCTGTTGCAATATTTTACAAAATAAGATGGTAATAAGAGACCATGTCAGAACATGAAACATTTACCAAACCTGACAACGGAGTGCATTCTGGATCATTTCCTAAGGAGGGAGACAAGGCACATATCTCCATGGTCTTTACTGTGATCTGGCGTGCCTATACAAGTTATTCACAGTGACGATGACGACTTTCCTTCATTAACTGCAATCGATACTTTTTCGGTTTTGAAACTTTTCCTATTGGGAAGAGGAGCTCAATCGTAATCATAATCAATTACAATGCCGCCTTAACCGAAACGTGTCTCACAGATCACACTAATGTAATTAAGAAGTAAATAGGGAGAAAGTTCAATATCGAACAGAACGAGTCTCCATGATACGCGGAGTTTAACCGTAATCGAAATCAATCACAATGCCCCCCTAATCCACATGCGTCAGACCAACCACGTTGGAGTCCTTGAGATGCAACAAATGTTTGGATACCATTTGATCACGCTTTCAGCCAGGCCACGCTAACACCACTCATCACGAGGCAACCATGAAAAGATTTACTCCGCTCAATTGAAGGGCTAAAATGTTACCAAGTGTGAATAATGCTCGGCTTGAAGTTTCAAGGAGAATGCTTTTCATGTTCTATGAATGTTCTAATTCCGGATTCCTTACTGACAAGCGCTAGAATTTAACAAGTCCCACTTCGATGATTAACTTGAGGGAACTAAACATGTGATCACCGCAGTGGTCATGTTACTTATGAGTAGGAACATCTGACATAATAGGATTGGAATTGAACCGAATTAAGCAAGTGAGGATACAACATCCACATAAAATCAGCTGAACCTTCTGCTCTGGCCTATTCTGTCACAGGCATAACGCCACTAGGCTAGGTTTCCCATAAGCTCAGGCGCCATTACCGTACACCTCGGCAACCCGTTAGCCAGGGCGATGTAGCGCTTATCCCAAGCCAATCGTAGGACAATTTGCTAACGGCTGGTTCGATGCTTCCCTTCCAGAGGTATGCAATAAGACTAAGTAAAATGAAGGCTGAGGTAACTTGGAATTTCTTAAGATTAAAATAATTCCCTGTATCTGCGTGTAATCTTGGTGCGTTTCTTGCAATGATACATTCATGATTGCATGATTGCAATATAATACATTCAGCATGATGTCAAACTGATTGCTATAACTGAATTTAGATTTTAATTCCACGATAATTATGTTTTCC